GACCTGAATAAGCTGCAGAAAATTGATGAGTGGATTAACAAATCAAAGCATTAAGGTTCAGAAAATAATATTACAGCATGTTTTGGTTAAAATGACAAACATTTTACTAATAAACTGAGAAACTGAAATTCATATAAATTTGCGTTTTCCTTATTTTGTGTGCTGTAATCTTCATTAAAGTGTCAAATGTCTCTTTCTCCACCTATGCTGCTGAGATTGAGGAGAACTTTCCAGCTGACCTCATTAACACAATATTTAATCCGTACACGTCATTTAAAATAAACCTGAATTATCCTTTAATCGTCAGACAACATCCAGATTTATCTAGTGACCCTTTAGAGAAGACTGACCTCTATTAAAACATAAATGAATCAGGATTACAGTCAAATCTCAACCACAGGATACGTTTTAATGCACAATTAAGAAATTTTAATTGGATGCTTTAAGTATATTCTCCTGATAAACATCTGGCACTTTAAATGCAGCTGGACTTTAATTTGTGAAGGACTTTAAAATCTTGATATTGGCAGTTTTACTTAAATAGGGCAGTGATTCAGAGATTACAGTCTAATTAAAGAAACAAGAGGACTTGACTAGCAGTACAGACCACCAAAAAGAATGCATAAATGACTAACATGGGTAGATAATGGCAAAAAAAGGAGTATATCAGTGGTTAATATCGCTACCTCAAACCTGCAGCCACATATCTTGCTAAAACTGTATTGATAAACAACTGCAATTATTAGCCAACAGTGTGGATTAACAATTGGAGACTGTTGCTAAAAGTATGGCAAATAAATATGGCTAATAATTGAAAATTGTTAGCCATATTTATGGCTAGGCAAGCAATGAAGCCGTTAGCTAAGCATAAAGGACAAACAGTTGAAATGGTGTGGGAATGAACAACTACAAACTTCTACGTATGGCTATTAAAACTGTTTGCTAATTGCTAACAGTGAACAGCTAAAATACCTACCTAAAACTATGAATAAACAATTATAAACGGTTGGTAAATGTGTTGCTAAGATTTGAACTTGTTAGCTTAAACTATGACTAAACAGGTGAAACTTAACTCAAATTATGGCTAACGTATAGCTAGCCGTATGCATCATCACATATTGATATAATTAATTAAACAGAATGGACACATATTTAAATACAGCTGGTAAGTAATAGCTTGTTCTCCGTTGGTAATTGTGGACAAACGTTAAAAGTATGGCTATTATAGTAGTTTGCTAATAACTGAACATAAACAACTGTTCGCTAACAAGTGTTAAGTGTTGAATTTGTTAGCTTAAATTATGACTAAATAGTTGAGCTAGGTGAAATAGGTCAGCTTAAAGTATTGCTAACACTAAATGTTGGCTAATATCATGCATAATCAAATAATTAAATTGGTAACTACGCATAATGGACAAATAGCTGATATACCTGCTAAACTTAAAATTGCTTGCTAATCACTTAAAGTGCCTTAAAAGCTAAAGCAGTTGGCAAAAACCACTGATAAACAATTAGAAACAATTACCGTAAAGTGGATAAACAATTAGAAGTCATCGGCTACCAGAATAAATAAATAAAGAATCAAGTTATTAGCTAAACATGATGGACAAACAGTTATAAGAGTTATCTATATAGCTTCAGACAACTAGCTTAAAGTATGTCTGTCTTTTGAAACTGTTTGCCAACAGTAAAGCTGAAACTGAGAGCTTAAAGTGGATGAGCTGCTAAAATATCTGGCTGAAACTATGGCTAGGAACGGCTGCCTGTTCAGATGAACAAGTTTGATTATAAGACGTGGTGTGGATGAGGGGTTTCTTGTCCACCTGACGGGCCTGTAGGGGGGACGTCAGATCAAACGGGTTGGGATCTGAGGGCTTCTTCCAGCACTTTGGGGGAAAGTGTTGCGTCTGAAGCGGCGAGCGTTTCATCATGGCTGATCCGTGTTAGTCTGCTGGACATGTTTGGTGGGAGCAGCGGAGTCTCGGGCTGCAGGTGTGCTTCTGTGTGCTGATGATGGGGGTCAGGTGAGGTGCAACGGCAGCACATCTCGGGCTGAACGCTCCCTCTCTCCTCAGAATGGAGAGCTGCCACCTGATGATGGGTTGCCAGGTAACAGCCTCATCCTGGACCATTAAAGTTGTGTTGTGTGTGTATGAAAGCCCTTCAGTCAGTGTGTCTCTGCGGGTTGGTTTTAATGTGATTCCAGTTTTATACTTCAGCTTTTTACTTTATGGGCTTAATTTAGCCTTTAGTCTCCCTTTTACGTTTTAATCTCCTTTATTGCAAAGCAGCTTTTATTGACTCTGTTTGCTCAATTTAAGAAAGTGCCAAATACAGTAAAAATGGAGCAGATCAGCTGACCGCGACTGGACCAGACCATTCCTTAACCACTAGTGATTTTGCTGCGGGTGTGATATTCAATCATATTTAACAGTATCTGTGTTGTGAATGGTTAACAATTGAAATTGCTCGCTGGTAGTATTGATAAATAGTTGAACTGTTTAGTAAAATATTGCTAAACAAAAAAAAAAAAAAAAAACTTGTTAGCCAAAATAGCTAACAGTTGTAATTGTTAGCTAAATGTGGAATAACAGTTAAAATCGTTAGCTTAAACTATAGATAACCAACTGGAAAGTATTAGCTAACAATGTGAATAAACAATTGGAGAATGTTACCAAAAGTGTGACTACCAATAAAACCGGTTATCTTAAAGCATAGCTAATACTTGAAACTGTTAGCTCACAGTACGGCAAAGGTAATAATGAGATTGCTAGCTAAACATTAAACAGTTGGAACAGTGAGCTGAAATTGTGTTAAATCATTCGCTAACAGTAAGGCTTAACACCCAAAACTGTTAGCAAATAGTGGAAAAACAATTAAAATACCTAGCTAAAAGTGTAGATAAACACAAGCTAGTAGTTACCACGATTGATAAAGAAACAATGAAGTAGTTAGCTAAACATTGCAGACAAATCGTTAGCTAGAACTGGGAATAAACACAAAATATTGGTTAAAAGTATCGCTATTGTTACATTGTTTGCTTCTAGTGTGAGTTAACAGTTAAACTTATTAGTCTGAAGTGGATAAATGGCTACAAATACCTAGCTAAAAGGGTAGATAAACAGAAGCTATCAGCTAATACTTTGCATAAAGAAATATTGAAGTAGTTAGCTAAAAATTGTAAACAAATAATTAGCTGGAGTTGGGAATACACAGAAAAAACTGGCTAAAAGTATAGGTATCGTAAAATTATTTACTAAAAGTATGAATTGGCATCTAAAACTATTAGCTTAAAGAGGATAAACAGCTAAAATACCCAGCGAAAAGGGTGGATAAACAATTAGACATGTTTAGCTAAGAGTATACCTTGCTAGTTTTATACTTCAGCTTTTACTTTATGAGCTTAATTTAGCCTTTACTCTCCTTTCTATGTTTTATTCTCCTTTATTGCAAAACAGCTTTTATTGACTCTGTTCACTTAGTTTAAGAAAAGGGCCACATATAATCAATCAAATTCGACAAATGTGTCTTTGTTGTCTGGACTCTGTTATTGCAGGTATTTTGGAGCAGAAACTCCGCCCCTTTTTAACACCTCCACACAGCTGACCAATCAGAGCAGGCGGTGGATGAGCGCACGTTGTGTCTTGAAAGCTGCAGGAGGATCACTAATAAAATCTAAAACACAAAGAGCTGAAAACCAGGTAAAAAAAAAAAAAGAAAAAAAAAAGGGCCCAATAAAGCCACCTCCATTGTAACTGGACTTTAATTAATTAGACTGAACACTGCTCACTAATGATATATGAGGAACACACACTGACACGCACACACTGCCCAGTCTGATCAATACAGACATATTAGGGAAGTATTGATCGAGGAAATTAAAGGTATAATTAATCAGTGAGCAGCTGGTCTGGGCTCTTTCGATTCTGAACCAGATTAATGTTCCTGATCAATAGCACACTGTTGCTGCTGCTAAATATACAGCGGCTTTATGCTGCTGATCAATAACACACTGATGCTGCTGTCTGCCGGCCCTTTCGGTGATCACAGTTAAATGCAAAAAGACTGCGACGCTTTCAGGTTAAATTACATCCAATAATACAACAATGACAGCCAACGATTAACGTCCCATTCATCAAATAATTACAATAAATGAACTGTGAGCGCGTGAATGTGCAGTTAATATAATATTAATGGGAGAAAGTTACACACAACAGTTAATTTGCATTTCATTAACTAGAAAATACAACAAACATATGAGCTGCTGGAACAGTTACAATTAAATAATCCACCAGAGTAACTACATGAGTTATGATTTACTATGGCATATTTAATATTTGATTAAATTAATTAATGAATGAGAACGGTTACAAACAGAAGCAGCACAACTTTATTATAAACAGTTATTAAACAGTTCAACACACTAATGCAGACAAAGTGGCTGTTTAAATATTTTCTGTGAACACAGTTGATCACAAGAATTTTTTTTTAATTATAACAAATTTACTAAAATACAATTTTTTATTTATTATGTGTTTTTTTAAAATATGGAAATTATTTGATCTCATACATTTTGCTTTTTTTTTCTTCCTAATGTCCAAAGTAATTTAGTTAAGAAAGGTGCTAAATAAATGTATTGTTGTCATTATTATTCTTATTCTTATGCTTATTCTTGTTATTATTATTCTTATTCTTATTATTGTTATTATTATAATTCTTCTTCTTCTTCTTCTTCTTCTTCTTATTATTATTATTATTATTGTTATTATTATTATTATTACCACTGAAACCTTTCCCAGAACTGTATATATTCATACATATATAATTACTATGATGGTTAAATTAAAAACCTAACAAACTAAGTAATTAGGCTACTCTGTGTTTTGAAAAGTGAGAATTAATGCCCATATGAAGCTAAAGAATGGCCCAAATGAGACATGCAGGTGAACGCTCGCTTCAGGCCCTCCTCCTGAAAATCACCTGCTGGTCCGGTTCTGTTCTCAGAGTTGTGCCGGTCCGGTCAGGAGGTCGGTGGTCTCAGCAGGAGCGTCTCCCGTCTGCAGAGCTCTGCGGACTTTCTGCCAGAAGAGTCCCGGGTGCTGACCGGCCTGAGGCCAGCTGAGGTAGGTCCGTCTCTTCACCAGCTTCCTCATGCGGTAGTACGGAGACAGATGACGGGCCGGGATGTCCTCCAGGAACAGCAGAATCAGCACGTCCTTCTGCTCGTCAAACAGCCGGAAGCTGCAGCCGGACAGAGAGACAGAAACACCAGGACAGTGAGACGGTGTTTGTAATACAGTTTAATAGAGATGCAGATTTCAAGAAACTTCCTTGACTGACAGTCGACCATGTTAACAATCAATAATTGGTTAATCAGAAGAGGTGAGAATCAGTTGCAATAACTGAGTGGAGACTAGAAGCTTCTCTGTCTACAGCCTCCGACATGAGTGTGAGGCATGTGCATGTGAGGCGTTTAGGGAACAACGGTGAATTCTACCGTCAACAGAAGTCGGCATGCGGACCATTTAGGGAACGTTGGTACATTGGAGTGCTGACTGATGCATGTGAGGCATTTATGGAACATCTATAAATTGTGGTGCTGAATGATGCATGTGAGGCGTTTATGGAACATTAGTAAATCGTAGCGTCTACCTAAGTCTGCATGCAAAGCGTTTAGGTAACATTGGTGCTTGTCGTCGATTTATGTGACGCATTTAGGGAACATCAATGAATTGTGGTGTCGATCAGTGCATGTGAGGCATTTATTGAACATTGGTAGGTTGCAGCGTTTCCCAAAGCCTGCATGCAAAGCTAAATGTTGGTAAGCTTGTAAACTGCAGTATCCAGCGATGCATTTGAGGTGGATTAAAAATGTAACATTTAGTCCCCAAATTTGCATGAAAAGTCTTGGTGCACCTAAATAAAAAAGTTACACAATCCCAGTATAACCAGAGTAAAAGTCCGTCTGAAACCCTGCTATGATGGAAGCGAGCGCCCCCACCTGGCCATCTGGATCTCTCTGGAGCACCACTCGCTCTGCAGGTAGCGGCGGCTGATCACACAGATGGTCTTCCTGCTGCCGTAGATGGCGTCTGTGATGTTCTCTATGATGGGTTTACCTGTGGACAGAAGGACTCGTCTGATTTTAAACTTTCTGACAGTCTGTGAACAAATCTTGTACGAGATGCCGTTTGGTTGGAAAAACTAATTTGCTTTTATTCCACATGTCGCATCTTAAAATTTGCCAAAACTAAAACTGTTTGCAGTAACCAGAGTTAGTGAAAAACAAAAAGTTTTGCTCTCCTCCTTGTAGCCATGGAGCCACTGGTGACTCAACTGTGACCAGAAGTCACCACAAAAACTTTTCAGCTGAACTGTAGGATGTGTTTACACAGCAACAAATGGAAACAAATTGAAAAGGTAAGTACACTGCTCAAAAAAACATAAAGGGAACATAAACAACACAATGTGACTCCAAGTCAGTCACACTTCTGTGAAATCAACCTGTCCAGTTAGGAAGCAACGCTGATGGTGAATCACTTCCACCTGCTGTTGTGCAGATGGAGCAGACACCAGGTGGACATGAGAGGCAGTTAGCAAGACAACCCCTATAAAGGAGAGGTTGTGCAGGTGGCCACAGACCATGTCTCTGTTGCCATCCTTTCTGGCTGATGTTTTGGTCACTTTTGCATTTTGTCAGTGCTCTCAGCCCCAGAGGTAGCATGAGGCGTGTCTACAACCCACACAAGTTGCAGCTCATCCATGATGGCACATCAGTACGAGAAGGTTTGCTGTGTCTCTCAGCACAGTGTCCAGAGCATGGAGGAGATACCAGGAGACAGGCCAGTACACCAGGAGACGAGGAGGGGGCTGTAGGAGGGCAACAACCCAGCATCAGGACCACTACCTCCTCCTTTGTGCAGGAGGAACAGGAGGAGCACTGCCAGAGCTGCAGAATGACCTCCAGCAGGACACTAATATGCATGCTTCTGCTCAAACTGTCAGAAACAGACTCCATGAGGTGGTCTGAGGGCCCCATGTCCACCAGTGGGGCTTGTGCTTACAGCCCAGCACCGTGCAGGGAAACTGGCATCTGCCAGAGAACACCAAGGTTGGCAGATTGGCCATTGGTGCCCTGAGCTCTTCACGGATGAGAGCAGGTTCACACTGAGCACATGTGACAGACGTGACAGAGTCTGGAGACGCCATGGAGAACGTTCTGCTGAATGCAACATCCTCCAGTATGACCGGTTTGGTGGGTCAGTAATGGTGTGGGGAGGCATTTCTCTGGACGGCCCACAGCCCCCCATGGACTAGCCAGAGGTACCCTGACTGCCATTAGGTACCAGGATGAGATCCTCAGACCCATTGTGAGACCATATGTTGGTGCAGTGGGCCCTGGGTTCCTTCTGATGGATGACAACGCTCAGCCTCATGTGGCTGAAGCGTGTCAGCAGCTCCTGATGATGAAGGCATTGATGCTATGGACTAGCCGGCCCGTTCCCCAGACCTGAATCCAACTGAGCACATCTGGGACATCATGTCTTGTTCCATCCACCAACTCCATGTTGCACCACAGGAGTTGACTGATGCTTTAATCCAGGTCTGGGAGAAGATCCCTCAGGAGAACATCCGCCACCTCATCAGGACGATGCCCAGGCGTTGTAGGAAGGTCCTACAGGCACATGGAGGCCACACACACTACTGAGCCTCATTCTGACTGGTCTTGAGGAATTTCCACTGAAGTCGGATCAGCCTGTGATGTGATTTTCCACTTTTATTTTGAGTATGATTCCAAATCCAGACCTCCATGGGATAATAATTTAGAGTTACACTGATCATTTTTGTGTTATTTTGTTCTCACCGCATTCCACTATGTAATGAATAAAGATTTTCAACTGGAATATTTCATTCATTGATTTGTAGGATGTGTTATTTTAGTGTTCCCTTTATTTTTGTAAACAGTTGTTCAATATCAATAGTATGTGGAGTCACCATTCTATTTTCCAGTACTTTCAATTGACTTTTTCACATTTTATAGCATTATAACTGTGTCATACTACACAAAACACATTTCTGAGTTCTCTCTCCGTCTAGTCATGGTTGTGTTGTTTCCATAGAGATGCAGGACTTTATGTTGCAGTTAAAAAATGAGGCCACACAGAGTAAAAATGTGACAGGAACAAAGAAAACACCCAGAAACTGCTCAGAGTTCAGTGTTTAACTCTTTTTAAAATCTAGTTTCACTGGTGCTCTGCGTATAGGCACCATTATTAAGAATTTTTTTGAATGCACAAACTTACCAACTTAACATTTTTTAAAACATATTTTGTTTTTCTAAATAAAAAAAAAAGGGGCCAACCCTATGACTCATCCTGTAATAAGCTGTTGACCCTGACTGTTGGACTCGACGCCGCTGTGCACTAAAGCACCTTTAAATTTGAGAAATGCCTCGAAAGTTCATCAAATTCTAGTTTCACACCACAAGCCCACACCAGAACCAGAGCAGCAGGTTTGATGAAGCGAGCATCAGCGCATCTGTACCTGACGCCGGGGGCTCGGAGAAGGGAAAGGATGTGAAACCCACTAGAAATCAAAACGACTCTGACAGGAAACAGATAAGAATAAGAGGAACAGAGGCCAAATGTATGTGTCCGATGAAACATGAATACAGTTTGAAATAATCACAAACTAATCTTGAAAGTGATCTTAAATCATCAGGTCGCTTCCACGTTACTGCATAAATAGAAGTTTGTTCAACATGAACAATGAAATTCTTCAAGCATCAGCCCAAACTGGCAACTCAAAGTCGACTTTGAGACTTTATTACTTGGATAAGAGGCTTAAGTATTACTGTGCACCTATTCTAACAGTCTGTGAGGGAAGGTGGGTAGTTTTAATATCCCCTGTCCAGGTCAGAGATTTTAGTCCAGTCATTTTTTAGCCTCTCAGGCTCATTGTGGTACTGAACTGAATTTCTGGGCGTTTTCCTTCTTCTGCATTTGTTCAGTTCAGGGTGAAATTGAGCTTTTGTGTGGAAATTGAGGAAAATCTGAAGGAGACACCACCATATGGACTTGTTTGGTCTGATTTTACTGGGTTTGTTCATATTTAGTCTAACTGATACCACTAAAAGCAGCTGAGAGCAGCTTTTAATGGCATATAATTGTCAACAATTACTTAAAACTTTAAACTGACCCTCTGAAACTTAAAACTGTGAAAGGCATGTTATTTATTTATTTAAAAACAGCAACAAACTAACAACAAATCCCCACCAAAATTCTATGATTTATCAGAAACTGCAAAGACAGAAAGACTCATCGGATGTTCAACTTTCCAACAGTCCTTGATCTTATTGTGTTTGACCAGCTGTTCTGTCAAAAATAATGAACAAATCTAAGCTTAAAATTGTGATATTTTATCAGATAACTTTATTTTACGTCTTATTCAAAAACATACTATAAATAATTTGTTTTACTCAAACCAGATTCTGTTTAAAAACAAAAAAATTATATCCTTGAAGTGTGACAAAAATCCATAGATCCAACTGACCATTAGGCATTATAGCTGTGTCATACTGAACAGAAGATAGATATTTTTGAGTTCTCTCTACTTCTAGTCATGGTTGTTCTGTTTGTTCAGGACTTATACTACTACTTGGATCATTCAAAGCTTTGGATGATCACTGTCAGGCAGAGGTAAAGACAAACAGAGTTTACCTGGTTGGAAGTCTCTGTGGTGCAGACAGAGTCTCCAGCCTTGCTCTCCTTCCAGCACCGGAAGCATCTCCTTGTAAACCCAGTCCTCGTTGTGGACGTTATAGGACACAAAAGCATCGTAGCAATGAGCAGCTCCAATCTTCCTCTTCCTGCTGTCATACAGGAAGGCCAGAAAGTAGTGGACAGAGTAGACTAGTTGCCACCTCAGAAAGTGGTAGATGAAGGACATGAGGAGAGTAAGAAGAACCAGACAAGTGCTGGAAATGAAGCAGAGGAAGTTGATGTCCATCCAGCAGGTCTGGGTGTCAAAGTCCAGCAGCATGTTTCCTTGTTCGGCTACCGGGAAGGAGCACCTGTACTGATGGGCGTTCACCACCTGAGTTTGGTTGTTGCTCTTCACCCACTGGATGAAGCCAGCGTTGGAACAGTGGCAGGTGAAAGGGTTGTTGTTCAGATCCAAGTATGTGAGTGCAGGGAGAGACTGGAAGACTGCCTCATTGATCGTCATGATCTCGTTGTCGCTCAGTTTCAGAAATTTTAGGGCGGGGAGGTTGGCCTTCGCCAGAAAGTCCAAAGACTTGAGCTTACACTCAGAGAGATCCAGAGCCTGCAGGTTTGTAATCGGATCAAACATTCTAGGGTCCAGATCGGACAAATCTGTCATACTAAACTTTAAACTTTTGAGTTGGGAGTTGAACTGGAAGATTTCTGGCTTTAGAGCAGAAACATAGACGTTGATAGCGGTGAAATCCTCTAAGTGTATCATAGTTTTAAACATATCAGCCAGTACATCAAAGGGGAAGCCATAGTGGTTGCCGCTGCAGACTTTGAAAACCTTCATAGATTTTAATTGGAACAGGGCCTTGTTATACCAGCCTGGATGAGGACTTTGGAAACTCTCTCTAATTTTAAAGTAGATTGTAAGATTTTCCAAATGCTGCAATCTTGTGAAGTTACTTTCATAGTCGAGTGGTAGAGACAGAAGAAGAGTTTCCAGGTTGTTCAGTCCATCAAATGCGTTATGCTTCACCCTGTCAATATAATCTGACGTCACATTCAGACGTTTTAGGGACTGTAAACCTTGAAAATCTTCATTGTGGAGACTGGTTAGAAAGTTTTTGCTCAAATCCAAAAACTCAAGCTTCTGCAGGCCTGTTTTGAAGGCGCCTCCGAAAGTCCACAGCAGGTTGTGGCTCAGGTCTAAAACCTTCAGATCATTGAGATGTTCAAAGACGCACCCCTGCAGTTTGGCAATGCGGTTCTCAATTAGGCAGAGGTCTGTGAGGCGTGTTGTATTAAGGAAGTCTTCGCAACTTAAATCGGAGATAAGATTGCCCCTCAGATCCAGGATCTCCAGGGAGTTGAGTCTCCTAATGTCGTCTGGCACTTTGGTCAGCCAATTGGTCCCAACACTCAGGGAAGTAAGGCGCTTCATGGATATGATTGAGCCTTTTGGCAGTTCATGCAGGTCAGTGTGGGTCAGGTCGAGCTCACAGAGCTGTGAACAAGCAACAAGCTTCACAGTCGAGTTGTGGAGATGGTTGTAACTCAGATCCAGCTTCCTGAGCGTCGGTATTTTGCAGATTGTAGCTAACAGACCTTTTCGAAACCACCTGTTCACACAATTCAATCTGAGGTGCATCAGCGAGTCGAGGCTTTGCAGGACTTTCTGGATCCTTACAAAGGACATTGAAGGGAGACTGAAGTACAACTGAGTTATGCTTCTCAGTAAAGTTTTGTCCGGTATGTCCCACTTCAGGATGGGAACATGAGAAAAACAGAAAAAATGTATAACCTCAAGTTGAGGGAAGATTGGAGTGGTGATGCTGAACGCCTGCAATTTTCTGGAGGAAACATCCAACACCTTCAGGCCAGAGGACATGTTCAGTGGCAGATCTTTGGTTTGAAAGGAGGAAAACAGGTTAAATCCCATCCTCAGATTCTTTAGGTTTGGCAGCTGCAGGACGGCCTGAATGTCAGCAACCTGTTGGAGCCTGTTGGACTCCAACTGGAGAGTCTGTAAGCTGCTCAGGAACCTGAAGGCCGAGGGATGGATGAACTCGATCTGGTTGTTTCCCAGTAAGAGAATGGTGAGGTTGGACAACCCCTGAAACGTGTTAGCTGTCAGGTTGGTTAGCTTGTTTTCTTCTATGCTAAGCACTCTCAACGACACCAAATCGATGAAGGATCCATCGTCCACGTGAGCAATGTGATTATCCTCAAAGTCCAATACTCTCAGCTTTGACATGCCACCAAAATCTCCTCTGTTGATCTTCTCCAGGTGGTTATTTCTAATCAGCACTGAGACGGCAGCTCTGGGGATGTCGTCAGGAACCGTCACCAGTTCATGGCTCGAACAGCTCACAAAAACATCAGCCGAGGGGTTGTCAGAATAGTCAATGCTGCAGTTCTTCAGAGAATAAGCCAGCGAAGGGTTAATAAGATGCAGCAAAGACACAAGTAAAACAAGAAGACCTCCCATAGTGGGCATGTGTGTTGAGTTACTGGGAGGTTGTTTATCTGCAGAAGATACACAGATTTTAGCCAATAAATGAACAGTTTTACAGAGGTGACAATGTTCATGTCCTTCTTATGTCTGTACAGGAAATATGATGCTATGAGACAGGGGGCGGGGCCAATTATTGGTCAACAGTTGCAATATCTGGTTAAAGTAATACAAAGAGAGACAGAAGACCGCAAAAAACAACACAAAAAAACCAACAACAACACAGAGACTCAAAATGATCACAACAAGAGACAAAACTAAACGTCTAAATCATATCTAACAGTGAGTGTGATCGAGATGATGTCCCAAAATGTTCTAATATCAAATGCAACTATGGACAGAAAAACCAAAGAGAGAAACAAAAAGACACAAAACACCCATAAACAGACACAAAACTATCCAAACGACACACAAAACCACCATATAGAGACCTACAACAACAAAGACACACAAACGACTACAAACACGAAGGACCACCACAGACTCAAAACAACTACACAAAACAAAGAGACACAAAATAACCACAAATGAACCCAAGAGAACCACAGAGACACAAAACAGACACAAAATGACCAGAAGACAGAAAGAAAACAACCATACAGAAGCACAAAAGGGACGAAGCGACCACAGAGGAACATGTAAATCCTACAAAGAGACACAAAGAGATGTGAAAAGAACACAAAGACAAAAAAAAACAACTACAATGAAACACAATAAACACAATAAAAAAAGATACAAAACTACCAGCAAAACCACCAAAGGAACACAAAACAAGCACAAAGAGACGCAAAAAAGCCACAAAATGGGCCCAAAGAGGCAAACAAACAAACAGAAACCACAGACAAAACACAAACAAAGAGACAGAAATAAACTACAAAGAGATAGAATGACCACAAAGACACACAAACCAATCCCAGAGAAACACAAAACAACTCCAAAGAGACAAAACGATAAACAAAAAGACACAAAAGGATCGCAAAGAGATGGGAAAAGAACACCGACTATTACAAAGAGACATAAAAGACACAAAAGAGCCACAAATGAATCCAAAGAGGACAAACAAACACACAAATACCACAGACAAAAAAATAAACCAACAACAGGGCACAAAACAACTACAAAGAGACAAAATGATAAACAAAAAAACATAAAAGGATCGCAAAGAGATGTTCAAAGAATACCGACTATTACGAAGACGCAAATGAATCCAAAGAGGACAAACAAACACACAAATTCCACGGACAAGAAAAACAAACAACAAGACAAAACAACTATAAAGAGACGTAAAATAGAGAAACACGAAACAACCACCAAAAGACACAAAACTACGAATGCAAATCATCACAAAGAGACAGGAAACAACCACAAAGAGACACAAAGAGGCAAAACACAATCCTCTACAAAAACACAAAGACACACACCGGTCACAAATCGACACAAAATAAGACAGAGATGCAAAATGACCTGTTTCCTCTTAAATCAGCTCTTATTTTATATATATTTTACTCACTGAACAGAAAATTTGACCAAACTTTCGCACAAACTTTTGTTAAACTTGTTCTGCGCGGTTGAATTTGGATTCACAAATTTCTTATTTCAGACATAAAAACAAACATAAAACCAAACTGGCTTTTAAATATCAACGTGTGATATCTGATTGTTCGTCAGTGCAGGAACGAAAATGGAAAAAGGACAGAAGAATAAAAGTTTGCGCTACTTACAGTTCATCATCAGAGCTCAGCAGTGAACCTGAAGGTGTTGTTTCACTTCTCTTGTATTTCCACGAAGCAGCGTCGGTGTCACGTCTGACCTCGCTGTCTGTTCAATTTGAATAATTTCCTTAATTTAGCGACACACGATGACAAGGACATGTCACAGCTTCTCTTCTTCCTCTGTGGTACAGTTGTTCACACGGACATAAGGACTGAACTGTTTTCTTTCAAATACAGATACTTTCTGAATGCCAATATATTCTGCTTATATGTACTTAGCTACAACTATGATATCTCAAACACGTTAGAGGAACTTTGGTTATTGAACACATAAAAGTATGCATTAATACAAGTGTTACTGCTGGTTGGTTCTCATGTTCTAATAAATCACAGTTTACAGAATACTGTAGCTCTTGGTGTGGCTTTTTGTCGTGTCATCTAGTGGTCACTTGTTGTCTTTTTGTTGACTTTTTGTGTCTCTGTGGTTGTTTAGCGTCTCTTTGCTATCATTTTATGTCTCTTCATTTTAATTTCACCATTTTGTCGTACTATTTTACTGTTTATTTTTCTCTTTGTGGTTGTTTTTAACATAGATATAAATAATAAAGGCTAGATGTCTTGTCCGCGCTGCCGGCCAATGGAATCGCACGGCCACACTGGCGGCCATCTTAGTACGGTGCAGTCGCTCACCCATAACATTGTGTTGTCGTGGTGCATGTCCTTTTTAAATAACCATAACTTGCTCAAACGGTTTGGTCTGTTATAAACATCAGAGGTGTAGTTAAAACACTGCACTTATGGATAATTATGTTAAACTCTCACGGCCAGCAACAATTTGTATTTTCATTATTTTGTATTTTTGTAATTTGAATTGTCGCCACGTTAATGACGTTCGTAAGAAACCAAACCGTTGTGTTAATCCGTCAAGATTTCAGCGAGATAAGAGTATTTACGTTTGTACAAATCACTCACCTTCCTTCACGTACCACAGGTTCTGCCAGAGAGCTGCCCTGTGGCAAGATGGCCGCCGGTGATCCTGTTCGAAATGCCGCCTTAAGACATCTAGCCTTTATTATATATAGCTATAGTTTTTAATTTTTTTTGTGTCAATTTTGTCCCTTTGGGGTCACTTTTTTTGTCTTTTTGTAGTTGTTGTGTTTCTATTTGTGGTGGTTTTCTGTCTCTGTGATGTGTAATATATCTCTGTGGTTATTTTGTGTTGTTGTGTTGCCTTTTTTGTCATTTTGTCTCCTTTGGTGGTTGTTTTTGTGGGTCATTTAGTTGTTTTTGTGTCTCTTTGAGGTTATTTTGCATCTCTTTTGTCCGTTTGGGGTCATAATGTGCCTCTTTGTCGTCATTTTGTGTCCCTTTGGGGTCATTTGGTGTCTCTTTGTTGCTGTTTTCTGTTGCTTTGTTGTCTTTTTTCATGTCTTTGTCGTAATTTTGTTCTTCTTGGTTGTCGTTTTTGTGTCTCTGTGTAGTGGGTTTTTATCACTTTTGTGTTTTTTGTTTCCCTTTTTCATTATTTTGTGCATCTTTGAATGTTTATTTATTTGAATTTGGGGTAGAAGTTGTTTTCATCTGTTTTCTTTAGATTCTTCAGATTACAGANTTTAGTTGTTTTTGTGTCTCTTTAAGGTTATTTTGCATCTCTTTTGTCCGTTTGGGGTCATAATGTGCCTCTTTGTCGTCATTTTGTGTCCCTTTGAGGTCATTTGGTGTCTCATTGTTGCTGCTTTCTGTTGCTTTGTTGTCTTTTTTCATGTCTTTGTCGTTATTTTGTTCTTCTTGGTTGTCGTTTTTGTGTCTCTATGTAGTGGTTTTTTATCGCTTTTGTGTTTTTTGTTTCCCGTTTTCATTATTTTGTGCATCTTTGAATGTTTATTTATTTGAATTTGGGGTAGAAGTTGTTTTCATCTGTTTTCTTTAGATTCTTCAGATTACAGATTTGCAGCGTTGAACATCGACAGCAAAGTGTTTGAATATTCACTGTTTAAATCCCAAAACACACACACACAGCATCTGAGCTACACTCCACCACTTTCTCCCTTCGCCGTGTTGTTTCTTCTTCTTCGTCTCCTCCTGAGCGCGGCCACCGCTGGCAGGTGATAATTACCACTTCGTGTCAGCCTTTCTTCTTCTGTGTCTCCATCATTACAGTGAGAGCTGATAATTAGCCCTCAGTCCTCCCACAGCTTTCATCCTGTTTGCTTCATCCACGTCGTGAAGCTGCTGCTGCTGCTGGAGTCTAAGTTTGGACGTGCAAATGAGGCTTCCTGTCACGGCCACCCACAGGGGGCTTCTGGGTAACGCAGTTCAAAGAGACGAGCAGGTGACAGGAGTCGGAGCCGCCTGGGTGATGTCAAACACACAAATAAATAAACAAGTAAGTCACCTCCGTGTTTGTGCAGCTGTCAGTTTAACTTCAGTTTCGGCTTCGTGAAGTTTTCTGATTCGACTGCATCACGTCAGACATGCTGAAAATCACATCAGAATGCCACTGTTACCATGGTGATGTGACAGTTTATTAACGTAATACTATTTACAACTGCATCGTTACATTTTTTAACTATGACAACATAAAAATGTTTTGTTACAGTTATGACATGACGTTGTTGGACCCATGGTGACCAAAAAAAAAAAAAAAAGAATAAAAAATCATTTTAATAAATGCTAATTGCTTTGTTATCATGGTAGCGTCAATCCTGTTACTATGGTCACATCCTTTTTTTTTTTTTTTTTGTTATACAATGACATCAAAACGCTGCTAACTTTTTTTTTTTGGTCACTAAATAATCTATATTGTTGACATGGTGACATCACATTGTCAGTTAGCTGTTGCTATGGTATGTTACCCCGCAGACTGAGCGGTTGCCATGGTAACGTTATAGTGGGAATTCGTAAGCTAAGTATGTAGTGTTGAAATCTCATTTATCTTGTAACTATGACAACATAACATGTTTTGTTGCCATGTCAGGACAACACAAATCAATTGTGCGATTAAGCTGTTGCTGTAGAAATTGTTGATTGCACCGTTACCATGGCTACACTACAACACCAATTATTGCTGTTTTGAGTGGCTAAAATGACATTACAGATTATTTGTCTTGTTGACACGGTAAAGTCACACTGGTAATTGCATTGTTACCATGGTGACATCCCATCGTCTTTCCAACGCCCAATGACACACTTCCAACCAAACACTGTGAGTAGTGCTTTTGGAAGCTCAGGAAGAAGCTCAACAGGCCGTCAGTGAGAAGAGCTGTCAGCTTTTTCGTTGCCTGATATCATCACTCATTGTTTTTGCTATGATAATGGCAACACAAACAACAACAACAACAACAACACTTGTTTTGACGCCATGACAACAGAACAACTTGTAATTTTTGATGATGACATCAAGCAAATTGTTT